ATTAAAGCTTCCCAAAGACCCCGTTGCCGACAAAGTGTCGTTACCTACGATATTTTTAAATACAAATAATTATACATATTTTCAGAACTAATTTTTATAAATAATTTTTTTTATTTTATTCAGTAAAAATATTAAGAAAATATAAATATCTTTACTTACTTGGTGAATATCTAAACAATCAACATCTAATAACACTATAATTGCTTGAAGTGAATCTACTTTTCCTTCTTGGTCATAAAGCGTAACTAATTGTTGAGCAATTAACGGTGGTAATCGCGGTCGTAAACTTCCATCCAATAATGGATTTTCCAGGGCATGTAAATAACTCGCCTTTAATCCCTCGGATTCCGAAACTAAGTCCCATAATTTTCCAAATAATAAATCTGTATTTTCTAATTGTATACAATAATCTACACAAGTTGTGACTATTTCAAATTCTGCATTTTCGTCTGCAAGACAATGATTCAATTCTTCCATATATTGAATCAAAACTTGACATACTTTATCACGAGCTATTTGTTTACGACGTTGCTTTGAACCACGAAGACCAACAACTGCTTTTCCTTTATCTTGATAAAAAGAGAGTCCTAATGCTAATGCTTCTGGAAACCTTCTCTGAAATCATAAAAAATGTAATAAAATAAAAAATTATACAATTTCAATACAAACCTGCATTGTCAAATGTCTCAATCGTTCAGTCCATGTTCGTATACAAACTACATGTAAACTTTTAGTACCTAATAGTAAAAGTTGAGTACCAAATGTTACTACAGTATTATAACATGCTCGTTCACCAGCCAATGCCATTGCCTATAATTCAAAATCAAAACAATATAATTATTAATTTAAATTTAATAATTACTTAATATAATAATTTAATTAAGTGATACCTTTGAAACATTTCCACCAGTAGACAGACCTTTAAAATGGCTAGATGCATAAGAAATACCAACACGACTCATATCTAATGTTTCCAAATTATCCTGTGCTCTTACATCTAATAAATGTAATCTTTCTTGAGTATCTAATACAGCCAATGATCTTGGATTTAACCATCGTAAATTACTTATTGTATAGGGTAGAGTCATTCTTCGTAAGGGAGATAATTTTACTCTTGAACCAGCTTCAGTACATACCTAGTAAATTTAATTAATATAAATTTGTTTATAATTAAAAAAATTATATCTTATATAAAATGACAATACTTGATAAAAATGAACCACATCATCTCTTGCAAGAGCTAAAACAGGATCAATTACACGAGAAGCATCTGCTGCTTGTATAACAACAAGTTGCCAAGATAGTTGTGGTGGTGCTATAGGAGCACCAGATAAAGGATGAGTTAATACAACACGCATTCTAGGTCTTATGCATACTACTATTACCTAAAAAATTTAAATAATAAATAAAATTTAAATAAATTTTAAATAAAATTATATATTTAATAAGTTTTCATTTTTTTTAATGTTAATAATTTAATAAGTTTTCATTTTTTTTAATGTTAAGTAAAAAACCTTTGATAATGTTGCCATTGCCACTAAAGTATAATTTTTCAGAGTATGTGATGGTAGATGATTCAATAACAAAGGTTCTAATGTACACACTTCACCTCTAGATCCACTAAATAAACACCTGCTTTCACAGCCTCTCACTCCCATAACTCTTGTAAAATTCAATTCAAAAACAGATCCACCACTATCACTACATAATGCTACCTTAGGTGAATCTGTGAACTGTGCAAATATATGTCATATTTTATTAACAAAATCATATGTTAAATACTAAGATAATATAAATTGATCTCACTTTAACATGTAATACAGCTGTATCAAGAGGATGAACATCAGTAAGTGTCCTTAATACTTTTCCATTGGAACTATCTATCATTAATATATGTCCTCTAGCAAAGCCAGCTAGTACTCTACTTCCATCATGATTAAAACATAATGCAGATACTGATCCTTGATGTCTTGTTTCTTGATCACACCATCTTAATGTTTGTGAAGAATCAAAACCTAATACCAGACCATGACTAGTACCAACTACTAACATATTCCCTCCTGCAGCAACTGCACTTGCTAAACCAGCATTGACTTTTTCCTACATATATATATATATATGTATAAATATAATTATATAAATATAATTAAAAATAATATATTATAATATATATATAATTATATAAATATATTATATAAATATATTATAATATATTCATTGTAATTATAAAAATCTTTTAAAAAAATATTTTTGCTTACACTAGCTGATATAATTTGTGATGATATTCCTTTTAATATAACATGCCTTAAAATAGCACCAGAAGATGTTGATTGTGAAGTTTTATTGATTTTATTCAAAGAGTTTAATGACAAATGACTTCCAACACTTGTTGTTTCACTACTTCCTAATTTTTCACCTTGTGTTAAACCAAAATCATCATCTGTTCCAGATAATGATGCACAGTCAGGTTCTGTTAATATACTTTCTAAGGAGGGTAATTCTTCCACAGCTGGTATAGCATATTCTGTGTTATCCAACTAAAATTATAGAATATAATATTAATTTTAATAGTGTTAATAACAAAATTATGTAATGTAAGTAATAATACAATTAAATTTATTAGATTTAAACAAGGGTTTAAGTAAAGAAAATATATAAAATAAATTAAAAATAATTAAAAAAAGAATCTTAATATTAATAAAATTTTATCTAATATAATAATTGCATTTAATTATTATATATTATATTTATAAACAAAATAAGAAAATTGGATATTATAAGAACATAACCTAAAAATTAAAAACTTTGTATAACTTATATAAATATTTTTATAATTAATACAATTATATACCTCTTCGATATCTAAATTGATAACCTCAGTTGCAAGGTATTCTTGAGACCCAGCATCCGACCCCAACCCATTTTCAGCCATTTTTTATCCCACCTGTCATTCCACAGCTGACATACGTAAATATAGCGGTCTCTCGTTAAACTATAGAATATAAAATATATATATATAAGACTAGATTTTATTCTATTATTGTATATATATATACATTTAGATAGAGTTCGAATTATAAAGATACAGAAGAGATCTAACATTTAATGTATTTTTTTGTTTTATGTTTCGAGAATATATGATTACTTTACCATTTTAATATAATTCTAAACCGATTGGCTCAGAATAAAATTGCAAATAATAAAAAAATTGCAAATAATAATAGTTAATAATAGTTGAAATTGAAATTAAATTTTAATATAAAATTATAAATAAGAAACAAAACAAATATTATTTATTAGAATATTTTGTAGACGTATATGAAATAGTGCATTTTACACAATAATTACATTTATATTATTATAAAAAAATATTGTTAAGTTGCCATAATAATTTCGAACAGTATTTGGATAGTTAATTACATATTTTAAAAATGCTTGAAAAGATATAAATAGCAAATAGATTTGATAAACGAATCTTCTATATTCAATACAATGCTTCAAAAAATTTCTTTCTATTCTTTTTATTACCGAAAGACTTTCGTTTGTTTAAATCACATCATTGTCGTTAAGCGGATTATATATCAGAACATATGTTTTGTAAGATCGTCGTCTTAAAGATATATATATATATATATATATTATAAAGCCGAAAATATATAACCTATATTTTTTATATAAAAGTAAAAAATTAAAACGTATTCCAATTTTGAAAGAGAAATAATGAAAATGTATTCCATTTATATATTTCATCTAATGTTATTATCTTCTTTTATATCATTATTATCGTTATTTAAAGAAAAATATTTCAAATGAAAAAATGAATTCAAGACGGTTATAATATTATTCTAATATTATTAATTTTTATGTATGATAAATTAACTGCAAAATTCAACTTTATTTTTTTTAAAGAAATTATATAATTTTTTATACATTAGTTAAGAAATCAATATATTTGATATTTTCTATAAAAAAAATATTAGATTATAATTCTATAAAAAATTATTAATTTAAAAAATAATTTAAGTATAATTAAATCTCTTAATTATTTTTAATTATAAATAATTTAGTAGTTTTTTTATAGAGAATAATATATATTCTAATTTCTCATACATTAAAAAATAAATAATTCTATTTAAAAAACAATGTTGAATTTCGCAAGTTTTTTATATGTCTACTTATAGAAAAATAAATAACATCAAAATGTAACACTTATGAAATTTTGTAATTTTATAATTTTATTTTAACATTTTTTAATGAAAAACAAACGAAGATTTTAAATATGTATAAAGTTACATAATCCGATATATTTCAAAATTCTCAAAAATTGTTAAAAAAGTGTCAAAAATTGTAAAAAAATGCAGTTCTAATGCAAAAGCTATATGATAAATATCAAAAAATAAATATTTTAAGGTAAGTAAAAATCTTAATAAAAAAACAATTAAAAAAACGATTCAAAATCCAAAAAAATTAGTAATATAATAGGTAAATATATAAAAGTTTTCATTTTTAGAAATATTAACAAAATAATGCATTATCTTCTAATTATACTCTTGATATAAAATCGAAATTTTTGCTAACAAATAACTTTTAATTCTGCTATATTATCACGAATTAATCATTTTTTGACAGTTTTTTTTAATTCTAGGTAATTGAGAAATATATAGCGTGTATTATTTAAAAATAATGAAATATTTTAAATATTATTTTTTTTTAATATAGGATTATGTTATCAAATTATGAAATATTCTAATTTTATATTCGAATTTTTAAAATTAATTTGTATTTATGAAACATTATTTTCATACTAACAATATTAATATATATATAAATATTTATATCTAGTATGTAAATCCGCTTGTGGTGCCATCGTACGACTATAATAATCAGTAATTTAAAGTACATACATTTTGTTAATACTACTTGTATGTCTCTAACCCACGATATCTATGATATTCGTAAAAGATTTTTAATACGTAATATTTAGGTGTCTGTATGTTATATTGTATCTGCATTGCGAATATATGTATATATATTTATATGCATTTATATGCATGTGAATATAGTAAGAAAATTGTGAAAAATTAATATCCAGTGCATGGAATAGAAGTTTAAATATAATTATAGACATTAATCAGAATCTGACACGTTGATATAGTAGCAAAGTATTATCTCAGTACGTTGCGTTGAGCATTTTTACTTATCTCTTATTAATAGTCTTTTAATTAAAAGTTTTTCGTGTGATTACAAAGTGCCCATTTTTGGGCCTAAAAAGTTGTAAAAATTGCGTATATTTCACGAGAAGATATGCCAGATAGTGGTGCTGTTTATCAACCTACAACAGTAGGTTATACATATGATAGCGGTGGTGATGGTGCTGGAGGTGGTGGCAGTTTAAGAAGTGGTTTCTGGAGGATCATATCAAGACATAAACTTAGCTCTAGAAAATGGTTTGAATGGGTATTACTTTCAATTGCTTTATCATTTTTTATTGCCGGTTTAACGACGATGGTGGTCAGTTTTGTATCAGATGACACATCACAAGAAAATAAAATAAAGGTAATTAAAAATATTCGGTAATCTTTTAATATTATAATTCTTATTTTTTTTTATATGAATATTTTAATCTTCAGGAATATATATGAGAACAATATGATATATATTTAAATGAATTTACTGCATTTGCAATAAATATTATTTTTTATATTCAAAATAAATACATGATAAATACATATGTATTTATTTAATTTTTCTAGTTATTGTTGATTTGATATTTAAAAACTTGCAATAATTTTTATTTGTATGTGTTTTATCTTAATGTAAAATATTTCATTTAGTTTATATTTTAAAAAAGAATGTTCTTTATTGTTATAAATAACATTTTATATAATAATAGTAATAAAATATTTGTTTTATATTTATATAAATGACAAAATTAAACATTAGAGTTTCATTAATCTTATTTTCCTTTCTTTTCTTATTATATAAGTTCATATAAAATTTAAAATATAATATAAATATAAATTTAAGATGAAAAATAAAAAAAAGATTATTATTTTTGCTATATTTATATATATATATTTTTTGCTTAATTATATATTTTTCTAATATATTTATAAAATTTATAAAAAGTTTTATAAAAATTAAAAAAAAATTATAATAATATATATATATATATAAAAAAATTATAAAGTTTATAAAAATTTTTTTTATTTTTATAATAGATTACTTTATCAGTTAATTTCATATTTCGATATGATAGATTATCAATTCTATATTTGGATTATAATAGATTATTTTATCTATATTTTATTTATATATATATAAAATATTATTTATCTATACATATAGAAATTTTATTGTATTATATTATATGTATTTTATTATATATATATATATATATATATATTATTATATATATATATCTATATATACATATAGAAATATATATATGAATATATATATGTGAAATTAAATTAGAAAATAATTTATATAAAAAGGTAAATGAACATCCAACGACATCTGCAACAAGTATTGAAGAACATATTGAAGATGCAACAAAAAGTTCCATAGCCTTAAGTGCTAGCATGATTTTAGTAGGACTTCTACTGGGCTTTGGTTGGGCTTGGTTGCATTTCTTCCGTCGTGGTAAATCTCCAAGAGGTGGAATGGCTGGAAATAGTGGTCAGGTAAGCAATACATTTTTAATATATATATATTTTGTGTTTGGTTTTATTTACCGGAAGTCATCCAAGTCTTGGCTCGTACGTTCGTTTCTTTATCTTATATACGCGTTGCTATGAGGAAAGATGTTGGGCGGTTTGAATCCATCAACTGACTTGCTGGTGGGTTCCACTTCGCAGTACGGACCAGTACTTACGGAGCTGCCGAGTCAACTGAAGCTGAAGCAGACAAATTCTCATGATACTCCAGCAATACCACTTTCGGATCAGGAAGAGGAAACACGTACTTTAATGCAGGATTCTACAATTCCTTCGGTTCTTTCTACTGGTCCTAATACCATTACTAATCAAATTCCAGGTTGAGTACAAAGGTTAAATGCATTAATGTATAGTAAGAACACATGATGTGAACACTTATAATTTTACATGGATCAAGTTTGAATTGTAGTTTTTGCTATTTTGTAAATTGCGTGATTTATTTACTAATAGGAAAATTATTTTTTTTTTAATTTTTTCTAGTAGTAATTTTAATTAATGTTTATTTTATGAATTTATTTTAATTTCTTGAATGCCTGCATTTAAAGTATAAGATGATTTATTTCTGTAAATTATCAGCACAAATTTTAGCATAACATATCATTTACTATACTTTTTTTAAATTTTATTCTTTAATTTTTATGTATACATTCCTCCACTCCGTCCATTATCATTGACTAATATGTTAGTTAAGCATTGAATCCAGATAATTAACAAATAAAAAGATTTAAAAGAATTTATTTAAAATATGATACTTTTAGATTATTTTTATTATTATTTAAATATATGGCATAGTTATTATAAATATTAATATCAGTTGTCTTGATATGATAGTAATTTAGTAATTAGTCTGATAAATATTAATTGGTCTGAATTGACCAATTATGAATATATGTATAAAAAAATAATATTTTATATTATTCTGCCCAGTTAATATAATGGCAGTATTACATGTGATTGACAATATTTGTAACATATTCGCTCATTTATATATTGAGAGAAAAATGAGCTCTAATACATAATTGTATTAGTAAAATAAAGAGATATGTATATATTAGGATAATATATAACATAAAAATTATAATGCAAAGCAATTTCCTTTTTCAAATTAAATTGGAATGGATATGTGAGATATGGAGCAGTAAAATACATTGCACAATTTTTGTTATTACATTACATTTATTACTTTATCTTTTTTATACTTATGTTATTTATAGTTAGTCTTATATAAAAACAATTTAATTAATATATAGGATGATTCTCGTAATTCGAAATTGTATCTTTATTTGATTGTAGTTAGAAGAAAATGATAGAAAAAGAAAAATGAATAATTCACAGAAAATTATATTTATTAATTATTTATGTTATAAGTCTAATGATACATATATATTTTGCAATTATGTTATTTTTTATATAAGAAATATACATCTCAGCCTACATAAAAAAAAAAAATTAAAATGATATAGTAAAAAACAATTGATTTCCATATTCAAAAAGAATATCTTTATCAAAAAAGATTGTCAAATGCTTTGTAATAATTCTTTATATTAAAAAAGATCTATCTATATTTTTTACAATCAATGTTATCAATATTTTTTTATAATGTTCTATTATAAAATCAAATAATTTAAAATACTTTTAATAATATTCTAATTACATAATCATATAATGTATTAATATTAATATAATGATAAATATTTCAATATATATTTTTTAAAATGATGAACATTCATTTGATTTAAATGTGAACATTTTAGATTTTATGTTTAAAAAATAATATATATTTATGTTTCTAAACTCTGTATAAGAAATATATCAGAATAATTGCAAAATAATAACTAAAAATTAGTTAATTCAGTTAATAACATTTAGAATGTAAAAAAAAAAGGTATGTTTTTTAATAAAGATATTCTTTCAAAATATTTAGCTAATCAATAATTTTTCACTTATTATTTATAATATTTATAATACTATATATTATTTATAAAGATTATATTATATCATTTAAAAAAAATGTGGTTATGAAAATATGTCCTTTTTGAAGCATTTTTTAAATATTTTCATCTAACTTCAACCAAAAAAGATATACAATCCGTTTCAGTTATATGTATAACATATGTATATTCTATATACATATATTACAATAAAAATACATTTTTATAAGTATTTTAAAGCTTTGATGAAATTTTGGACTCTATTTTACTAACTTTTGGTATATCAATAGACAATATTATGTATATACATATAAGTATATACATATAAGATAATCTGTGTTTAAGATGTTTTGATTATTAGGTACAAATTTTAAATAATTATTGAAATATTTTTAAATAATATACAATTTTTATTTATACATATTTTTTTTTATTTATTATTAAAATTACATTTAAGAAAAAAGAACAATTTTTTTGTGTATTAAAAATATAATTATTAATGAATAATGTCATTTAATTTTTCTTTATTATGAATATTTTATTTATTAAAAATCTTATGAATATGAATATTTAAAGTATAGAAATTAAACAAATCTTAATTTTTGTCTGGATTCAATGCTATCATAAAATGAATATAAATTAATTATTTTAATGATTTACGTGAAATCCGTACTATTTTGATTAATGATTTATTCATTTATGTAACTATTCTTATTACATGAGAAAAATAAACGATTAAAAAATTGTATTAATATAAATTTTTTTATTCCACTTTTTTCCGTACGGATTTCTAAAAATATAATAAATTGAAGTATTTTTATATTTAAAATATAGCAATTTTATCAAATTATTTAATTTATCGAAATTAATATTTAAATAAAATTAATAATGATATAATAGTAAATAAAAATTATATAGTTAATCTATAACATTATACATTATAATTTATAAGTTATTTATAATTTAAAAAGTAAATGTTAATTCACATTTTTATACTAATTTTTGTGTTCATTTCAATATTTGAAATCTTTGAAGCTTTTGTAATATTTTGTATTTATATACCATATCAATATTTGTATTTCTGCGCATGCGCATAGCGTGTAGAAAAGTTTGTTATTATATAATTTTAAGAAAGCGCAAAAGGTTATGTTGTCTTCGAATTATATTACTAGTTATCGACATGATATAATTTTTATTTTATTTAGAATTTTAATTTATACAATATTATATAATAATTTTTATAAAATGAGTAAAAAATTAAAGCTAAATGATGCACTTATAACATCAAGATCTTTACGATCAGAAAATAAAGATCACAATAAAGATATATCGACAACAACATCAAAATATTTTAACGATAAAGTTGTTTCACTAAAAAAAGTTGAAAAAAAAAAACGTACTCCAGTAAAAATTAAATATGAAGAAATGAAAAGTATAACTGATTCAAAAATCAATAAAATTGAAAATTTACAAGAGGTTAATATAAAAGAAGATATAAATGTAATAGATAAATGGGAACCATCAAATTGGGAAACTATTGTAGAAAATATTAAGGAAATGCGGAAATATAAAACAGCACCTGTAGATGAAATGGGTTGTCACAAATGTACAGATCCTAAAGCTACTGCTAAAATTGCTAGATATCAGTCATTAATTGCATTGATGCTTAGTAGTCAAACTAAAGATCAAGTAACTCATGCAGCTATGCAGAGATTGATTACTTATGGTTGCACCCCAGAAATAATAGCAGGTACTCCTGATGATACTCTTGGAAAACTTATATATCCAGTTGGATTTTGGAAGGTATGTACAATTTATATCTTAGTAATTAATTTAAATGTGTTTAGATTTAACATCCAATTATATAAGATATATTAAATATGGAATTATATATAATATTATGGAAAAATTTTTAATTGATTTTTATAAAAAAGAATTATTTAAATATTATCTTATATATTCAATGAAATTTTATTTTTCAGAGAAAAGTAGAATATATTAAAAAAACAACAACTATTTTAATTGATAAATATGATAGTGATATTCCTAAAACATTAAAGGAATTATGTCAGTTATCAGGAGTGGGACCAAAAATGGCTCATATATGTATGCAAATAGCATGGGGTGAAGTTTCTGGTATTGGAGTGGATACACATGTACATCGTATTTGTAATAGATTAGGGTGGGTAAAAAAACCAACTAAAACACCAGAAGATACAAGAATTGCAGTGGAAGAATGGCTTCCAAGAAATCTTTGGAGTGAAATAAATTATTTACTTGTTGGATTTGGTCAAGAAATTTGTTTACCAAGATTTCCTAAGTGTGATGAATGTCTAAATAAAGATATATGTCCATTTACAAAAAATACAAAAAATGGTATGAAAAAAAAGATATAATACATACTATAAAACTGTTTATTATATGCTATTTATAATATTTAAGAAGAAAATTTTGAAAAATCTAACAATTTAACTTTTTTTTTGATTTCCCAATGCGTTTCTGAGCTTTTTCAATTCTTCTACGTTTTCTCATACTTTCTTTTCTATTTTTCTGACGTTCTAATTTTTGTTTTTTTTGAAATGCTTTACTTTTTTTCACTTGTTTTAATGCAGCTTTTTTTATTGCTTTCTTTAAATCTTTTCTATTGTCAATTTGTTTATTTTTTATATTTTCTTTCGAATTTTTAATTTGTTCCTTTTCCTTTATAGACATTCCTATAATTTCTTCATCATTTTCAGAATTTTTATCACTTTCTATTTCCCTATCCCTTTCTGAATTATTATTACCTTTATTTTCACCAATTAATGCATTTTTTTCTGCTAAATCATCAATATTTAATTCTAGTATACTAACAGTATGTCCTTCTGTTTCATACTCTTGCTGAGATAATAATTGTTGAATTTCAGGAATGTCACGATTTGACAATAACTTTTTGTAACGTTCTCGTGTCTGTAAAAATAATAATTTATTATTATATGACATTAAATTTTACACGTATGTATACTTTCCTCATGTTTAATTCTTTTTCTTTCTTCTTTTAATTGTTGTTGCAATTCTTCTTTAGCTTTTTGTTGTCTTTGTAATTTTCTTTTACGAAATCCTTTCAGAAACTCTCTATTATAAAAATATAAGATAAACGCATCATTAATAATATTTTAATTCGTAAATAAGATTAATGAAAAACTAATAAAAAGTAAAAATTACCGTCTTTTGTTCTCATCAAATACAAGATTAATTTTCCTACGTTTTTTTGGTTGACTAGGCATTTTATTTACATTAAATAATAATGGTTTTGATATTTTTGTATATAGCGCCGTATACACGTAAGTATTTTATTTATAGGTTATGTTGATAACCTATAACTTCATATAGTTTCTTAGTTTTTCTATATAAAATAATATAAATGGTATAACATATATTAATATAAACTATTTAAAAAAAAGAAATTCTTTAAATTCTATTATTTTATTCATTATTTGAAGAAATGATTGTGTAATAACGTTGTATTAATATAAATCTTAAATTATACATATAATATAATATAATATAATATAATGTCACTTTAATTTATCTTATTTGTAAAGAAATAAGATGTGTTTAAAAAGAAATGTACGGAATTTCTTAACTTGTAAAAAATGATATTTTTGATCAAAAATAAAAAATTAAATATAAAAAAATTAAATTAAATGAAATAATATTTTCAAAATAAAATTTACCATGTGCTTCTTTTAATATTTGATTGATATTTATATACCATTTTTCATCATAAAATATATATTATTATAAAAAAGTTTTGTCAAATATTATAATAATATTAAAATTTTAAACTATAAAAATAAATGTATGTGCACATTTATATTTATAAGAATGTTGAATTGTATAAGAAAATCTTTTTTAAAGTTATGATAATTCATGAAAGATAACTCGTATTTTCATTTAAGTTGAAAAATAATTAAGAAAAAAAGAAAAAATAATATATTTTTATTTGAAATAAAAATAAAAATATTTTTCATTCAAAAAAATTTATTAAAATAAATTAAATGAATCAAGTTAAAATCTAGATCAACTAGCATTGTATTTAGGTTATAATTTAATTATATTAATATTTTTTTTATATTATTAAAATAAAACATTCATAAATATTCTATAATATTTAAAATATCATTATTACATAGTTCAATTATATTTTTCATATTTTTATTATAAACGAGTAATACTCGATAAATATAAGACCAACTATGA